TGATATGCATACAAGTTTCGACGCAAAATGCAAAATTTTACATTTTGGCTGCCAATGAATGAACGGTTGTCGCTACAGCGCATCTGATCTGCGCAACTGGCAGAATTAGAGGAGATTAAGAGGAGAAATTACGATTCCAGGTCATAAATTCTTCACGAATTTCATTCCGTGTACTCTGGTAGACAGTAATTATGCCTCGCATACAGGTGCGCGAACGATATGCGCAGATGTCAGAATTTAAGAGAGGACGTATAGTGGGCTCAAAGAAGCCGGTTGGTCTTATCGGCGAATAGCTCGACATTTGCGCAGGAGCGATGTCACTATTAGACGATGTTGGCAGGAATGGGTGAACCATGGCCTCACACTTCGTCAAGAAGGAAGCGGTAGGCCTAGAGAAACGTTAGAAAGTGAAGACCGAGCAATCGTAAGAGCGACACTCACAGCCCCAGATGCATCATTATCATCGATTGTACGTGCAACTAGTGCTTCAGTGACTGCAAGGACCATTCATAGACGGCTAACAGAAAGGGGGCTGAGGTCACGGTGCCCCTTGCGCCGACAACCATCGACCTCTGTACAACGTCAAGCCCGTTTGCAGTGGTGTCTGGCTCATTCTCACTGGAATGTCACTGACTGGAGTAGAATATTCTTCAGTGATGAGACCCGCTTTGAGCCCCGATGACCAGCGAAGGCGAGTCTGGAGACGCCCCGGACAGTGGTGTGATACCAACCTGACTGTCTTCCCGCAGACAGGCTGACAACCAGGAGTGATAGTCTGGGTGCCATTTCATTTCATGGTAGGACCCCTTACGTTGCCATCCGTCGCAAACTTACAGCACAGCCATACGTCGACGAAGTTCTAAGGGCCGTTGTGTTGCCCATCATGTCACTCCATCCTGGGCTTACATTTCAGCAAGATAATGTCCGCTCCCACACTGCACATGTTTCTACTGCTTGCCTTAGTGCTTGCCGAACATTACCTTGGCCAGCAAGGTCGCCGGATCTCTCTCCTATTGAGCACGTTTGGAGCATTATGGGCAGGGCCCTCCAACCAGCTCGGGATGTAGACGATCTAACGCACCAGTTGGACAGAATTTGGCACGATATCCCTCAGAAGAACATCCGCAACCTCTATCAATCGATGCCAAGCCGAATAACTGCTTGCATAAGAGCCAGAGGTGGACAATCGCGTTACTGACTTTTTCACTTTGTGAAGCTCTATCACTTCAATAAATCATCTAATTTTTCTCAATTTCAAAAAGCCTTCTTGGTGCGTCGTTTATTTATTTATTTATTTGTCTAAGAGTGTATATTCACATTAGAGTTTATTAATTCTACTTATAACCCAATTAACGAATATTGGGCTAACTTTTTAAAAATGTATGGGATGATATGGTTTTGGGTAACATCTGCGTATTTATCTATTTGAAAATAATGTCTAAAGTTATAAAACGCATTAAATTTTCTACGGAATTCAATATTAGTGAATGATAACAATCATAATAAGTGAATAATTGGTTACGAAAGATGGACCATTCCTTCACGTAATCTAGTTTATTATCTTAGTAAGTGTTCTGTCAGTTTAACATTAACTAATTCTGATAGGATGAGAGGTCAGACTGATGTTATTAAGATAAACGAGATGTTCTCCAAATAGAATTCATAAAGGGATTAATTACTAAAGGATGAAACCATCAGATGATAATAAATGTTTAAAAATGTTCCCTACGAATCAATAAATATATTACCTGATTGATGATTTGAGAGATTTCTTGGTCTGAATTATATCATATAAAAATTCATATCCTCCTATATCATTATTACATTGCCTTGAAAGCTGGCTTGATGACTGTGTATTGTTGGTTTGCTGCCGTTTTTATATTCAAAATAGATAACACTTTGTAGAGTCTCATCATCTTTGGAAGCACAAACTAAAACGAGACTCAAGCTGAACCAAACGTCTTATCGCTAGGTCCAGTAAAGAGATAGAGAAGTAAGAAGGGTGTAAAAGATCCTTTTATTAAAGCTCAGTAATTGAACAGAAGGCACTTCTTGTGCTTACAAAATTAGTCAGCATTTATGGCGTAACTCAAAAACAATGATTTCAGTTTAAACTAAACTAAATTGTAAATTAACCAAAGGCCACATAGAATGAAAAACGCTAAAGTTGGCTCAAAACCTAATTTGGCGTGACAAGCCTTAATGGCAAGAATAACGCAACGCAGCAGATAGAAAGCTATCAAAGAGATTCCACTAGTAACGTGGACTTCAACAGATGGAATACCCTCTGATGAAACAGTCTAAAACCTTCCTTTAAATACTATCTCTTTCTACCTCATTTGAATACGCGCGAACTAAAATTTGCATTCGGGCAGGAAAATGGAAAGGAGATAAAATTATTTGTTAGATAAAATAAATAAATCCTTACAACTTCAGTCTCCGGTGATACTGCTGGTGATGCATTTGTACCTAAAGAGGTAGGTTTGCTTTATTTTATGAAATATAACTTTACCATATTTATTGTTTATGATATTAGAGCAATTCGTTCATAGTGTAGAATAAATTTGTTTAAAAAAAGTGTTCTTTTACATCATATTCGACTGCAGCATGGCATGACAGGAACTTTGGAAAAATAAAGAAATGCTAACCCAGTCAGTGCATATACGCCTGTTAAAATCACAAGTCTCAAAGACATGTTCTGAGTCCATTTTCTCTAATGATACAGAAAATGATCAAGGACTTAGATATGTTGTTTGAATACATAAAATCACATCCTGTAGAAGGACTGAATGATAATATTTCTACATACCGGTGTTTGAAATGGTATGCTGCTGTTGCCGTTAAAATGAGTCGTGAGTGTGAAAATGCAGAAACTGAATACACTTACTCACACTTTCGTAGTAACCGTTTGCAATTATAGGACATGCTATAGAAAGAGAAATTAATGGAGCTTTAGAAAAAATAAAGAAGAGCTATGACGAGTTTACTGAACATGGCTCAAAGTGGGTTCTGAGCAAAATTATTAAATGTGAACTAAATATTTTCAGACCTGGAGACCTTTCTCACAAAAGTTAATTATTTAGGCATACTAAAAGTAAGAATATCAACTTAAAAAAATAAGTAAATAAATTTTAAAAATTTAAAGATATTTAAATAAAAATATAAATAAAAAATAGATAAATTTAAAAATAATTACATAAAAATTAAAATTTAAATTAATAAAAAATTTTAAATGTAAAATACAATGTATGCATATATTGAATGACGCTATTACATTGATTAATGTAAATAATTGAAGCATAGTCAGTTGGCCTAAATTATAAAAATAACTGCATGTGTGATATATTATCATAGTGAATGCTGACTTTTATGAAGTTCCAAACATTACTGAAAATGTTATTCATAAAATTTTTATTTCCTTTGATATACTTACGAACTAAACAGTATCTAGCAGATTTTCCGTAACAAAAAGGATAATTCTAAAAGCATTAGTATTTAGTTATTTCGTTATATATGTATTATAAATGAATGCTTTTTTTCTCAAAATTTTTTAATAAAGTCAAATATAGTTGAAATTATTTAAGAAGGAAAAACGTAATATGGAGAAGTTAACATAGTCAGTTGGCCTAAATTATAAAAATAACTGCATGTGTGATGAAAATTAACAAAGAATACTACATTGAATGTCAGAAGTAGTAAGAAAAAAACTTTATGATTGCAAGAAACAGTAAATATGGGTCTGAAATTACAGGAAAAAGCTGTGATTTCATTTTAATACCCAAACATTCTGAATATATCAATTTCATTATGTAAGGTATTTTAAACTAAACATTGGTAACATCGAAGATCTTAAAGACCTGCATTCTAATATAAATGAAATAAAACTACATCGTTAAAATAAAGGAGAAAAGACGTTGAAAATATGGGTGAAATTAATAATTGTTTCTAAAATTATATAAAATATTAAATTTACTGATGGTAAGACTACTACAGAAGAAAAATTGTATAAAATGTAAATTGAAATAAAACTATAGAGTAAATAAGGACTATTCTCTGAATAAAAATTAACGGCCGTTAAGTTAAATACTTAATTTAAAAATTTCGGTATATTTAAAAAAGTTTAACATGTAAAAAAATCATGTAAAATAAAGTGAAACAGTAAAATTAACATTAATTATTAAAATTATGAAAAAAGAAATGGGGTATTATCAACAGAAAATATGTAAAATTAAGGGTACGCAGAAAACTATAAAAGAAAATATGTCAGAACAGTAAAAAAAATTACATCTGAAATTAAATAAAGATAATGTGTATGTTCGAAAAAAATAATAAATAGCTTAAAACTTAGTATACGCTAAAAATTGCGAAGGGTAAAATGTACAAACAAATTAAAACTACGTCTAAAATTAAATAATGTAATAAATTAAAACGCATATCTGAATAATTCCGCTTGTAAAATATAAAAAAATAAGTCAAAATTCCGAATATGGTGAAGATCACATATTCAGAATTTTGACTTATAAGTAGGAAAAATTTAAAAGTTACAGCTAAAATTAAATAATATAATAAATAAAAAAGCGTATTTGAATAATTGTGTTCGTAAAATATAATAAATAAGTTAAAATGAAGAGCATGTTGGTTAAAAGTTGTGGGAAAAAAGTCCGTCTAAAATGAAATAAAGCAATAGAACATTAATAAATTAGTAACATTAAATAAATATTCTGGAAAATAAATGCCATGATGAACAGAAGATCTAAAAAATAAGTTAAATTCAGGGTATTCAGATTTCATATTCAGAGTATGTTGGTTAAAATATACGAAAATAATTCGAAAATAAGAGCATAAATTGTTAAGGGTACGTATGGCTTATTTAATATTGTATTCGGGATGTAAAGAAAAAGTCAAGTCAATCGGTAAAAATTTTAATTAAAAATAACAAAGAAAATTATCACCGAAAAATAAATAAAAAAATAAATCTGTCACCAAAAAGTCTCTCTTACCTCGGTCACCCTGTCCTTATCTGTTAATTGAATCCATGTTGCACCACGCCTCCGTCTGAGGGCTTGCTCCGCGCTCCTCCTCCTGTTGCTGAACTGTCCGTTTTCTATTACTTATATGTTTTGACTATCGTTGCTGTACCCAGGTTCTCATAGAAAAAATAAATATTCAAAATGCGGTTTAAAACAAATGATTTTCAATGTAAGGTTCTAATAATGTAAGGTTCTAATAAATACTCTCACCTATGTGAATAAACAAATAAATGCGTAAGTCTAGGATTCAGTAATTTAAAAGCTGGATACAAACCCATATCATCTAAGAACTGAATATATGTTATTTTGATAAGTATAGGAGGATAAGGAACTAGCAACTGATAATATTGTTAGAAGCCTAAATCTTTAGCTTTGGAATAAATTCATATTCTTTGACTTCATAGTATACCGTACAAAGAGTAATGACAAGGTGTCATGAGAAGAAAAATTACGAAATTTTCATCATTAAGACCTTAAAATGCATTTGTTTGCAAAATATACGCAAAATAAATTTTTAAGAACTTTCAGTTACGCGACATGAAAAACATTAATAGTGCTGATATGTATTACAATATTATTCGCAATTCCTTTCTTCAATGACTCCTATGCTTCTAGATGTAAATGATAGTTTTCATAGATTAATTCACAAGAATTAGACGAAGAATTTTATTTATTGTGATTACTTATTGAGAAATAATTCAAATTCTCCGCATATACCTTCTGAGTTTGCGAAAAGCTGTTTGGGGTTCTTTTTATCCTACCAAAATCAGAATATATTTTCTCCATTCTTAAAGGCGATCATTGTGTAATGGTACTATATTAAATAAATGCTTAACATTGATTAAAAATTTGAAGATTGCCAAAAGTGTAGATATAATTTTTAAAGTGAAGCGACAAGAAGAAGAAATCGAAATTATCTAGCGGTCTGACAGAATTCCGCAAAAAATTATTAATATTAGCTGTAATAAACTATGTTCTGATAACATAATATGATTAAACACTTTCATAATGAGCTTAAGCATAATATCAAAAATTTGCGTTAAATACAATTATTATAAATTTAACCAATGTAAAAATGCATCCTATTAATGCAGGAGTTTGTTTAATACTCAGTAAATAAGTTTTATATAATAGATTCAGATGTCAGAAACATTAAGATTATCATTCACTTATGTAATATTGATTTCGCATATAAAATTTCATATTGAGGAAAAGCAATCATCCAGCATTCATTCATTATTCTTACCTTAATATGAAAACCTCAAACTTAATAGGAAAAGAGTTCTATTCCTGTTGCTTCAGGTCAAAAATATTACATAAAGAGTTATTTTAAACAGTTATTTTATTAAAATATTATTTTAAATAACAACTTACTATATCCACAAAGGTCGGTAGCACACTTCATTAAAAGATTTTGTTTTCCTAAACACGGGGAATAGAGCACTTAGTAATCCTATTACCCAGATGTATGTAAAGCGCAAATTTAAACTATGCATCACTTCTGTGGGTCTGAAGAGAGATATATTGGACTGTTGCTCTCACTCTAAGCTGCTTGCGTAACACTTGATACCGGAAGTAGTAAATGCTGCTCTTTCACATGAAAAACCGCAAGACAATCAATTGATGAGCGTTTCTAAGAAGCAGTATGTACCAGAGAATAAACTATCCGCATTCTCCGTTTTCCCCCCGCCCAAGGGAAATTATATAGAATTTTCTTACCTTTCGGATGTTAAATATCTAATTTTGTTTCAGAAAACAATTCTTCAGCTATGATTCACGCGAAAATACCACGAAGAGGATTTAGAAGAAAGAGAGCACTCTTCTATTAGCCGAATCACTTACGATTCTGTTTTCACAAATATTAAAAGTAAAAATTTGAATATTTATGCTTTCTCTTTTCAAATTTTGCTCATATGAAATAAACAGAATATATTGTCGCTGCTTTTGCATTTACCTTGAAGAATGTTAAAGATACATGAGAGTTTAGCGATATATTTTGGCTCGAAAATTTTAATAGCCTCAAATGCTGACGCATTTTCGTCTCGACAATTCAAACAACTGCATTTACAGTTATTGAAAAAAAATCTTCTTGCTTTTATGTTTAATATACTTTACAAAATATTTCTCCTGAGGTTCGCGTTGCCCAATGGCCGAGCGTCTAACGCTGCAACATTCATTATTCAAGGCACTAGTTATGAGAGGTTATCATGCATTTCCCCGTGTGTAACAGAAGTACAAGCTAGTTTTCTTAAGGAAGTCCTACACTAAAACATTCTTCCTCATAAGGCACATAACCTTCGATTGTTTTACCATAGTTAATTAACTAACCAATCCCTTACGGCTTTTGTCTTATGTAGTGTGCACTATTTCTCCAAATTTGATTTGATATTTGGTTGCCCGTATCTTTCTAAAATTTTCCCAACTACATCGATTATTTCGACACTTGCATATTGATATTCTACATCTCTTCCACTCAAAATATCGAACATTTTAATTTTAAAAGAAGCTTTATAAGCTTATGAAGCTATATAAATGTTCTAATTTGGTCTGATATGTGTCTGCCGAAATATTCTGAAAATTTCACCATTACACAGATTACTTCAAAGTTGGCATATTAATCTTACGTATAGTTTAATATGCCAAAGTTGGCATGGTTTGATCTTTTGCCTGTCTAAGCAAAATATCAAACTCTCAGTTATAAATGAAATTTTATAAGCTGTCTGTGCGTAAGGGTCCAAAAAGCCGGTGCCAGGAGCCAGTGGCCACACACCGGTATGACCGGTATACCGGTGTGTTTAAACTTAATACTAAGCAAAAAATCATATGATATCCATGCTAATATATTTTAAGGTTATCACTTTGTAATATACACAAAAATAGCTGCAGAGCTATTGAAAAATAAAAGTGACTAATGTTTATAGATACTTAATATTTGTATATTTAAACCGCGTAAACATATACGCGAAAAAGAAATGTAAGGAATTCTAAACAGAAATAAAATTTAATTACATCTGTTTACTAATTGGATTTAAGTACATCTGTTTACTAATTGAAAAACATTTTAGGCAGGATAATCAAGAACTAATACATACATGGGATATTATTCAACATATTAAAAGTTAATAATTATTATTAAATCGAAGCAAAGGCTTTGTCATATGTTGTGCAAAACTGATGTTGATATTAAATTGCAAATAGGTTTTTATGTAAATCAGCTCGTGGTCAAATTAAGCGAATTTAGATTAATAAAAGTAATTATTGGACTTTTTAATCAGTAAAAGTAAGAAAAAAACTACCTGAAACACTGTTAAATATTTAACATTGCCAGGTATGTTTTGCATCGTAATTATGCAAAGCATTTAACGCAGTATTAGAACTTGAAAGATCCTATGTTTAAAACAATAGTTGATGGCAAATACTTTCTATGAGAAAAATTATCATAAGACTGCAGTAAGCTTTATAATTATTATTATTATTTTATTTTAACATGTTCTTGTGCTTCATTTTAATCCATGAGCAGGGCAACAGGCGGCAGAATTTAGGGGGGCAAAATTTGTAAAATTTAGGAAGTTACTGGGCGGCAGATTCTAGGAATCCAGTAGATTTACACCAGGCAGCGAAATGCCAAGCGCCTGGTGTAAATCTACTGGATTCCTAGAATGTGCACCACTGTGCATGAACATTGAAACGAGTAGTAAGGAAACTAAAGAAAAAGTCAATACACTTAATAATATTCCAAAGGTTATTGCGAACTGCCATACATAATTGTGCCCTCACTATAGAAAAATAAGTATTTTTAAGTGACTAAAAAAATCAACGCTTAAAAGTGAAAATGCTGAGGCGATCAAAAAATAAGTATTATAGTAGGGATTAATATTCTGATTCGTTCTCAGTTTTCTGCGTTCTTTCTTACTGACCAGAATACTAGTTAGATACTCAAAACTAGATACCATAAATATTTCTTTGGTACTTTTACAAAGTGGTTTTAATATCATAAATTTTTTTCCCACAAAAGTTAAAGTAATTTCAGCAAATAAATGTTATTTAAAAGTTCATTTACTATTCCTGCTCACAGTAATGTCGAATAATTTTATTAATTTTAAAACTTAACGCATTAAATAAGTGCTCGTCTGAATACTAATCTGGGCACACCAGCGAGCGAGCGGTAAAGTCGCTGAACGCTGGTAGTTCGGTCCGAGGTTCGAATCCCGCGAACGGGCTGGCTGCATGGGTGTTTTCGTGGTTTTACCCATGTGTAACGTGTATACGAGCCAGTTTCCCTTAGAAAGTCCTCCACGAAGGCATCCCTCCCCTTAGGCAGATAGCCCTCGAGGCTTTGCCATAATCACCCACACAGTGCCATAATCACTAATCTTTAATATAAGTTACTGATCAGAGCAAGAAATGATGCTTTGAAAGATGTCTTTTCATTTAATTTATAAATCTTTAACTTAAATAAATGTTACAGTAAAGTTATTTATAATTATTTCCTATATCAAGAATTATTTTATTTAATTGAAATAAATCTGTTTATTTCATAAATTAAAGGAAACTGGCTAATTCATGACCACAAATTTAGAAGAAGAAAAATATTTCCCTCTTCTTGAAATATAGCAGCGATTAGATAACAAAAGCAACGTTTCAGAGAAATTCTTGCTTTTCCCAAGTGTGTTTTAATTGTGTAAGTGGTTAGTAAGTCCAGCTGGTAATTGGAAGAACGGTTCGAATTCAGCTAGGGCTCAACTAATTTTTTATATTTTCTGGCTCCGGAGTAATATTTAAAATAAGTCTATGCAGTCGCACTTAAACTAAACTGTGATGGACATATGACTTGTCATTACCTGGATTTAATCAACTGAACAGCCAATTTAATGTTAAGTAAATGTAAAAAATTACTACAATTCCCTATGTATGCTATCGTGAATTATGACTTAGAAGTGATAAACCCGTTCAGCTACCAACTGAACTAGCAACAACCAATTTCTTGATTTAAAATTTATTAAAGTACAGAACTTTTTCAAAAAAATTTACCAACAGTGTTTAATGAAAATGTAGTAATTAAAGAGTTCTCCCGTATTTTGTTCATATAGGTGTCCATAATTAAAAATAATACATCTGATCTAGTTTTGATTAGTTTTAAAGGTCAATATTTACATTCATTTCCAGTTTAATAACAAATCATTTCCCCTGCAGAAGATTCAATTCACTGTCTGTTTACTATGACGTCAATGGTCTAAGACACGCCTTCTACCCTCTGGGTTGTTTTGATTCTAATTCTGCGTCAATGGTAATCTGAGATAAGTCTTTAAAATCTGAGCCTTTGAAATAAATACTGGCATCCGTCTGACGCCCTGGAAACGAGCGCTGCATAACACGTTAATGACAGCTTGGACTAATATAGTGTAATGAATGCTCCTGAAATGTAAGGTTTGAGGAGAAAAATATAATGAAGTTATCTTAGTAAAAGAAGTAAAGAAGTCAGAGGATTGAAAGAATCATTACTAATGTCTCAAAAGCCATAATTTATGAGTGCGGACATCAGATGCTATTTTTCTATTATGCAAAAGTGCCCACTACTCTAAGATATTCTTGTTTATTTTAGTTACGTTTTTAATAATTAAGTGAAATATTTTTCATTAATTGTAAAAAATGCTTCCTGTCTGTACGGAAACGAAAATGTTAAAACCTAAGAAAACTGCAGTCTAAATTCAGTGAGATGATTTGCATCTTGAGGGGAAAAGACACAGTATTGAATTTCACACAGGCAGAGATTTATATAATACTGAAAATGATATTTTTCATTAATTCTTAAAAATGACATTTAAAAAAAAATAAATATGAAAAGCATTTTTAGAAACTAAAAATTGTCTTTTTTAAGTTAATTGTTTTAGATTTGAAGGTGGATAAAATCTGAATGCAGAAGGTAGATGACGAAACACGTTTAGAATAGTGAGAATATATAAGAAAAATTTTCAATGAAATTTTACAACGCTTCCTAAGTTTGAACATTTCCGAATATTCTCTAATGAAATGCGTTTCATTTATGCGATTGAAAAAATTGTATAATTGTACGATTCATACGTTTAAAATTCCCCCAATGGCCAAGTGGTAAGATCGCTGAATATTGATAGCTCGATCCGCATTCAAGAGAACGGGCTGACTACATGGGAGTTTTCATGTTTTCCTCATGTGTAACATGAATACGAGCCAGCTTTCTCAAAAGGTATTCTTTCAATGGCCAACTAGATCTCGGAGTTGTTTTGCCTTATTCAATTAATCTAACCTAACTGGTTAAAATTCATATTAATTGCAAAAAGAGATAACAGTGAATGTAGGATAATTATAGCATAAAATACGCTTTATATTTCTTTAATTAAACTATGTTAGGTGTATATTAGTTTTATTAATTTACAAAAATTTAAATACTAATAATATACGATGTAATACTTAAGTTTTCGAGAAAGGGCAACATAAGACTTACAGTTT